GTCGACGGCCGCTTCTGCGCCGGCGGCGAGAGACTCTATGGCATCCTGCGCCGCGTCCGCCGCGTCGTCAGCCGCGGCGGCGACGGTGCGGGAGAGATCGTCGGGCGAGGGCGCCGCGCCGCCGCCCTCGACGGAGCCGAGCGCGGGCGTCGCGGAGGGGGTGGAGGGCGACGCGCCGGTGGTGTCGCGGATGCCGTCGGCTGTGAGGACGTAGCGGTTGCCCGCATCCACTGGGGCCAGCTTGGATATGACCTCTTTCTCGCCTGATTTGCTGCTGCTGGGGCCGTCGCTGTTGTCGGGAGCTGCGTCCGGGCCTGCGTGGTTCATGCATGACAGGCGCGCCTCCCCTTGGCCAGATGGGGGCGGATAATCGCCGACGACGCGCAGCCGCACATGGCGCCAGGGCATGACCTTGCCAAGCCTGGAAGCTATGCGTGACACACCTTTGCTATCAGATCTTTTGTCCTTCTTAGCTGCGGCCCTCCATGACTCCGTCCGGAACCTGCCATGCGTTTGTCAGAGCCACAGATCAGCGTCGTTGCAAGCGTCGTGAGCAGGCCATTGTTGCAAGACATGCTCACCTTATCACCGCTGGAGGCCTGCCCAGCCGCGCGGGCGTCACAGGAGCGAACCGCCCGGAGAGAATCATGCTTTCTCGCAGCTGAGTGCAGGATCGAGTCAACGCAGTGCCTAATGGAGCTGTTGATGTGCATGGACAGAACCGCGCCGTGACAGCACTCCCAGAAGGGGCCATGCGACAAAGACGCCAGGCAGGCAGCGCATCGTCACTGAGTGACGCGTAGAAAGTGTGTCGAGGTGTGGCTGCACGGGAAGCATCTAATCAAAGCCATGTGACTTGGAAGTGATGCTCGATAGACATACGCAGACCTCTAGCAAAAGATTGCAAGCAGTGCGAGAAGCGATGGCCAGTCAATCGTCTGGATTAGGAGAATGAGCAGTGCGGCGCATGATGTGATACCGGCAGTACAGTGCCCGTTGAGATTGGGATGTGTGCAGAGCTTAAGAATCTGCTGCCCGGCGTAGCTGTGTGCTGACGGACACAGATGCACAAGGCTGGTGGTGAGTTTACCCTAGGCCGTACCAACAGCTGGGTGGTGACGACTTGTATGCGTACCGTGTCATTAGGATTGCGCTGCGTCGCGTCGGCTCTGGTGCACACAAGATCCCGTTGGCCTGCCATGCCGCAGCATGAATTTTGCAGGGGCACTGGTCATCATTCGTGCCGTGCAGGCCAGGTCGACCTTGCTGAGTGGGAGCCACATTGGCCTCGTTCGTCACTTCATTCCCTCTCCAAGGAAACTGTTGCGCCTCCTCCTATGCATTCGAGGTAGCCGTGCGGGGATGCCGCATCAACTATATGACTAGGCCCTAGTTGACCATTTACCATGCGCAAGAGGCACTCTGAGGGGCCGCGCTGCCACCATCGTGTCGGTCCTCGCGTATAATGTCAGGGCGTGCGTGAGGATAGCGCGGGCCACAGCCCACCTTTATAGGGCGCTGTCCCAGCAGGTAATTAAGAGATGAACAGCGTGATGGCGTGTCCACCATACTGTGGCACTCCGCAGCGCATATTGCGGAAGGAAGGTCATGAGCGTTGGAACTGTCTGTCAGTCAACACTTGGTCAACGTCAGGGATGAAGTTGAGACCGCGCGCTTGTCATGTCAAAGCACGTTCAACAGTTGGAAGCTTTTGAAGTCATCATCTCGTCACGCCTGTCTCCATCAGGCCCACTTGGGATGAATGCGCTGCCTGTAGCACCAAGTTCGGAATGCCCATGGTTGGCAGCCGCCGGTGAAGGCGGCAGGGCTGCAGACGCGCGGCAGGAACATGGCAGGCCGCATGCGTCCAGGTCATTGTCGTTGTATACCGTACATGGAATCATCTAGGGTGGACTGGGCCTCCATACGGCTCTACAAGAGCTCGTTGTGCTCGCCCTGATCTAATCGAGGCCTTTCGGTACAGCCCTTCCTTGCCGATTGAGACAGGACGTCGTGCAAGATGGGTCCCAAGGGCAAGAGCAAGCCCGGCAGCGCGCAGAAGCCCAAGCACTCTGCCGATCCAAATAGGCCCAGCAAGGGCGTGGGCGGGCAGCGAGATGCGTCCACGGTGAGCTTGGCTGTGATAGCTGATCTCTTGCCAGCGCAGCAGCCTGCAGAAAGGCTGTGGCGGGTGCGGGGTGACACGCTGTGTGCCGGCCGTCCAATCTTGTCGCCTCCCTTGCTCCGTGAACGCAGGTCCGGCGGCTTAAGATGTACAAGACCAGGGCTATACGTGACAAGAAGGGCAAGATCATTCACGAGGTTGGCGCCCCTCCGCCGGGCGTGCGCGACGGCTGCTGCTGCCGCCGCTGCCAGGACTGCAGCCGCCGCTTTCTGTTCGGGTGGGTTTCCGCCCATACCCCGGCCGCCGATCCCCACCCTCAACAATCCTCCTCCCATCCCCTGCTCTCACAGGACCTGCAATCCAAGGACCTGCCCACCACGCGCATCCAGCCCGACCGCCGCTGGTTTGGCAACACGCGCGTGATCGGGCAGAAGCAGCTGGAGCAGTTTCGCGACGAGATGGCCTCCAAGGTAAACGACAGCTACACCGTGCTGCTGCGCGAGAAGAAGCTGCCGCTGCAGCTGCTGGAGGACCCCGAGCGCAAGGTACGCGGCGCGGCGGCGGGTTGCGGTCAGGGCGAGCACCAGTGGCAGCGGCGGCGGAGGGCATGCGCCAGGGAATGGGACACCCGGAAAAGGGGCAAGAAGGTGGCGGAGGCGGCCTGCGTGCCTCGCCGGGAGGCATGAGACGCGGTGCCAGCGCCCGGTCAACGGCGAGCGTTCATGCAAAGCTGTCCTGGAGCTTGGTCAAACCCCACGTGCTCATCCGCCCCCGTCCCAGGTCGGCGGCAAGGTCAAGCGCGCCAACCTGCTGGCCACGCAGCCCTTTGGCGACACCTTCGGCCCGCAGCGGCGCCGCAAGCGCCCGAGGCTCGCGGCCGAGGGGCTCGAGGGGCTGGTGGCAAATGCAGAGGCGGGGGAGGAGCGGTTTGCGCTCAAGGAGGAGGGCGGTGACGTCATCGGCGGCGACGTCTTTGACGCGATGAAGGACGCGGTGGGCTGCGCCGGGCGCTGCTTCGCGCGCTGCTGCTTTTGGGGCCTCGCGTTGCACGTGCCGCCGCGCCTGCCAAGGCTTCGCCGTCATAATGCACCTGCCACTCCTGGCGTCACGTGGCGCAAGCACGCGCGGCCGTGTTGCTGACATGCCTCCCGCCGCCCTCTCCCCCGCTCTTCCGCCTTTCCTCGCAAGGCGCGCGAGCGCATCTTTGGGAAGGGCCAGTCTAAGAGGATCTGGGGGGAGCTGTACAAGGTCCTGGACTCGTCGGACGTGGTCATCCAGGCGCGTGTGACCTGGGAAGGCCGGGGCCCGCGGGGCTGCACGCCCGTTTTGTGCCTAATGCGACGACAGCGCAACCGCGGTTCCGCGCCGCCCGCTGCGCCCTCTAGAGTGGGGGACTTTGTCTGGCCGTCGACAGGGCCTGCTGGGCCGACAGAAGGGTGCGATGCGGCGGGGGGCTGACCTGCACGGCTGGTTGCACATCCATTTGTTTGTGCACTCGCAGGTGCTGGACGCGCGCGACCCCGAGGGCACACGGTGCCGCTTCATTGAGCGCCACATCCGCAAGAACGCCCGCCACAAGCACCTGCTGCTGCTGCTGAATAAGTGTGACCTGGTGGGTCGCCATTATCTGGGTGTTGGCACACACTGCATAAACGTGTGCACACAATTATTTCAACTTTTCTGCTGATGTGTGTGTGTGTGTGTGAGAGAGAGAGAGAGTGAAAAAGAGTGTATGTGTGTGGGTGTGTGCAGGAGTGCAGGAGTGCACGTACGCGCTTATGAGTTTGCACGTGCGTGTGCAGCAATGCGTGGCATTTGTGGCTTTTGTTGTGTGTGACGTGCCAGGGAACACTGATGACCAACCATTGTCCGTACCATCAGAAGGCCTCGGCTGCTGATGAATAAACTTTGGAATCTCGTTAGTCTGAGTTCCTACGCTGCTGCTTCGTCTGTTGTACAGACCAGTTGGGATGCCGCGGGTGTGAAGACTGTGGAAGCATGCTTGGCTGCGTGCCTGCCTGGCTGGCGGCCTGAAGTGATGGCAAACAACTTAAATATACACCGACTCACGCATGAGAGACAACATACCCTGATCAGCCGCCAACCCCGCAAGCCGCCCTCCGCTGCTGCTCCCTGTGTGTGCCCTGGCTGCAGCCCTCCCCTCTTCTTTTCCGCCTCGCCGCCTGGCGGCCCGCCCCCTCTGGCCCTGGTCAACACCACGCATCCTCCTCCCCCACCCTCCCAGGTCCCGGCCTGGGTGACCAAGCGCTGGCTGCACACCCTGTCCCGGGAGTTCCCCACCCTGGCCTTCCACGCCAGCGTCACCAACCCCTTCGGCAAGGGTGCGCCCCCACCAGCACAACATCCCCCCCCCCCCCGCCACCCGGCCACACAGCGCAGCGCCGACACCGCAGCCCGCTTGACAGAGCAAACCCCATGTTCTTGGGCCCTTCCGCCTTGCGTTCTGCACGCGCGCGCTGATTCCACCCCCTCATTTGCAACCCCGAGCATGGGCCTCACGCACGTCCTCACACCCCCTCCAGTGCTGCCCTGACCCCGCCGCCACCACCTGCGCCGCCACGCCCCCGCTCCCGCCACCCCCAGGGTCGCTGCTGTCGCTGCTGCGCCAGCTGGCGCGGCTGAGATCTGACAAGAAGGCCATCAGCGTCGGGTTCATAGGCTACCCCAATGTCGGCAAGTCCTCGGTGATCAACGCGCTGCGCACCAAGAAGGTGGGCGGAAGCTGCAGCTGCGGGACTGGGGCCGGGGGACGCGCCGCTGCCTGAGGGGCGTGAGGTGGAGGGAGGGCTGGTGCCTGGACCCCCCATCTGGCCGGGGCTGTCTTGTGAGCCCAGCCATTGCGACCGCCGCCCATGTCCACATTCCCCCCCTGCACATGCGCGCGTGCACGCGCGCACACACACACACACACACACACACACACACACACACACACATGTGCACGACATCTGTCCCACATCAGGTGTGCAAGACAGCCCCCGTCCCCGGCGAGACCAAGGTGTGGCAGTACATCACGCTGATGAAGCGCATCTTCCTCATAGACTGCCCCGGCGTGGTCTACCACAAGACTGAGGACAAGTGAGCTGCCAGGGCGGCCACGGGGAAGGGCGCGATGTGGCACCCACGCGCCGCCGCTGCCAAGCACAGTACTCGCGACGCCGCATCAATGGGCATCCGCCCCCACATCAGTGGCCGTTTGCCGCGTGCCCCCTTGCCGGTTCCCCAGCGGCGGCCCTCTCCCCGCCCCTCCCCTCATGCCTCCCCTCCCGCGCGCCGGCCGGCCCCGCGGCCCCCTCATCCCCTGCGCCCAGGGACATTGACGCGGTGCTCAAGGGTGTGGTGCGCGTGGAGGGCCTGGAGGACGCGGCGCCCTACGTTGAGGAGGTGCTCGCACGCGTCAAGCCAGAGTACCTGGTGGGTGCTGGGGAAAGGAGGGGGGAGTGGAGGGCTCGTGACTGATTGGGGGTGCCTCCGCTAGTGGCGGCTGTGGCGGCGTTTGCTGATGGCGATGTTGTGTGCATGTGCATTCACGCGCGCGTGAGTCCGTGTGTGTGCATGTGTGTCTCTGTTATTGCGGCTGGTGAGACGCAGCGGCCGGTGACGAACCACTTGCTTCTAGTAGATATGGACATCTGACGCGCCTCCTCGGCGCATGAACGACGCAAACTTGATGGGAATCTCTCTGAGGCCTCACCTTGCTTTCAACCCCGCCCCCTGGACGCCGCGGCGCCGCGAGGCAGACTCCTTGCTGCACACACCGCCGCCTGTCCCCCCCTTCCTGCCCCCCTGCTCCTCTGCTGACGCCTCACCCCTCTTACCCGAACACGCCGTCACGCCGCCCCCTCTCTCAATGCAGCGCCGCGCGTACCGCATCGCCAGCTGGGAGGACTCCCATGACTTCCTCACGCAGCTGGCGCGTGCCAGCGGGAAGCTGCTCAGGGGCGGCGACGCGGACCTCAACACCGCGGCCCGCATGGTGCTCTACGACTGGCAGAGGGGCAAGATCCCCTTCTACACGCTGCCCCCGGGCTACGTAGACGCGCCGCCGGGCAAGCGGCCGGCCGGCGCGGCGGGCGGCGCGGCCGGGGCGGAGGAGGGACAGCAGCAGCAGCAGCAGCAGGTGGAGGAGAAGGGGCAGGAGGGGCCAGCGGAGGAAGAGGAGGGTGCTGGCGGCATGTATGCGGAGGGCGTCACTGAGGAGGACGCCCTCGGGGAGGCGGGCGCGCGCGCGGAGAACGCGTCCGCGGCGGCGCGCGCGATGCGCGAGGCGGCGGCTGCGGCGCTGCGGGCGCAGCGGCGGGGGCGGATACCCATCAAGGAGGGGTACTACATGCCGGCCGACGAGCGGGCGGAAGGCGAGGAGGCGGGGGCGTCCGATGACGGCGAGGAGGGGCTGCAGGAGGAGGGCGAGAGCGGCAGCGGCAGCGGATCGGAAGAGGAGGACGGGGACGGGGAGGGCCCCAGCGGCAGCAGCAGCGATGGCGGGGAGGACGAGGAGGAGGGCGGGCAGGCGCCGCACGGCGGCAAGCGGCGGCGCGGCGGCGAGGGCGAGGGGGGCGGCGAGGGCAGCGGCGACGAGAGCGATGGATACGGGGAGGAGGGGCTGTCGTGGGAGGCCGTGCTGCAGGCTGTCAAGGTGGGCGGCGTGAGCGATGTGGTGCGGGCAGTCCTAGCACCGCCTGTGCTGGCTGTGTGTGTGTGTGTGTGTGTGTGTGTGTGTGTGTGTGTGTGTGTGTGTCGAGCCCGGGCTGCCGCCGCAAGTGATGCTTTGTCTCGTTCGGCGTAGAGGCGAGTCTAACCAACACCAAAGCCGTGCCGACAACTCCTACCACTACCCATAACCTGATGCAATTGCGTGGCGCCGAGGGCTCGCGTGCCTGCCTGCTGTCCTGCCTTGTGCTGTGCTGTGCTATGTGTGCTGCTGTGTGATGCGGCGTGGAGTGTGTCTTGTCGTTGCATGGTGTGTGTGGCCTGGTGACGGACCTGTTGACTGGCAGCAGCGCCCGGCTCTGGCAGGCGCTGCCGGCGGACGATGAACAGTCTTATCTGTTGCCTTCCTCTTGAGCGCCTCCAAAGAGACGTGCTGATCTTCACTCTACACGAGATTACTGACGCCACCAGTTGCCAGAGGTCGTACCGCACATGCACTTGTGAATAACCCACACCCATCACCCGCGCCACCACAATCTTTGTCCTGCCGCGTCGGCTGACGCACCCGCACGCCACAATCTTGCAATCTGCCCCCTTGGCAGGGCGGCGCGCCTGAGCCAGAGCCAGAGGCGGCTGCGGCGGCCGCGGAGCCAGAGGCGGCTGCTCCGAGCGACAGTGACGCAGACGAGGGCGCGGGCGGCAAGCCGCGGCGCGGCGCCAAGCGCAGCGGCGGCAAGAAGGGCGGCAAGGCGGCCAACGGCGCAGCTGTTGGCAAGCAGGCGGCTGGGGGCAAGCAGGCGGCTGGTGGCAAGCAGGCTGCGGCCGCGGGCAAGCCAGCAGCCAATGGCAGCGGCAGGCAGCGTGGGGGGACGAAGGGCAAAAACACCGCTGGCGGCAGCATGAAGACCCTCGAGTGATTGTCATGCTGCTGTCTTGTACGTAGTGCATACGGACCAGCAGGGTGTGCCAGGATGCCGCCCTGAAACCTGTAGATTCTTCCAACCGCTTGCGGAGAAGGTGGCCAGAGGCGCTGAGACACCGCGCCCTCGCGACCCTCGACGTCGTCGCGCCCCGAAGCGTGCGTTGCAGCAATGCAACTAACATACCCAGCACGCTCCGCACACCTGCCCCAAGTGCACGCTCTGGTATACAGCAGAATGCTGTAACTTTGCGGAACTGCTTGCAGGTGCCAGCAACGTCAGGGAAAGAGGCTGTCGGTGCGCGAGCACAAGCAGGCACATCCTTGCCACCAGCAGGCTCCGGCCATTGTGTTTGGCGAGTCAGCCGCGCCCTCGACGGACGTCAGCGCGGGGCCAGCCATATGGCGCCACCCTGTTTCCGCCTGCCGCGCAAGCTGAGGCATGCTTGCGCTGCTGCTGCTGACGCCGATGTCGCTGCAGTCCGTGGCGGACAGCAGACATCACACGGGCTGTCGGCGCTCCCCTGCTCGGTGTGCACCGCTGAGCTCCTTGCACCTGGCATCCGCTGTGGCTAACTTATGCAAACATAACCATCATCCCGCGTCTCTGAACCGCTCACGTCTGCACGCTGCTTCGATCGTCCGCGTCAAAATTTCGCCTTGTTGGTTTCGAGACCAACGCTGGACGAGACTGGCATTCCACAAAAGGACCTTGATTCTTTGGCCTGCAAGTCCTTGAAGAATAAACAGTCACACACCCGAACGACGTGTCAGATTCAGGAGGGCAACAGTCATCGCAACGGTCAAGCCATCTGTGGAGACTCAATGCCAATTTGAATAATCGCATACGTATAAGTCTGTTTCTTGGGCCCAGGTGCAGAATAGATTGCATCCATGCTCAGCTCACGAGTCTCGCGCCCAATGGGCACTCTTGCGCCGGCATCATGCGTGTCTAAGCGTGCAACAATCACAAGGCCGTGCCGCCCGCGCTGCGTCATCGCACAGTGCAGCCTCGCCTCGACTTTGAGGGGAATTGCCCGCAGCTCTGCGGCTACCCTGGCAGCAGCGCTCTTCGTGAGTGATATGCTCGTAAAACATGTGCCACCACGCACCTGGCTCTGAAGCCCGTCGAATGTGGACAGTCGTGCGCCTTCGTCGTGTCGGGGGTGTGCCCCCGGTGTGATTGCCCCGAACGCTGACAAAGCCCCTTGCCCGCCCGCCGCCCCCCGGTCAACGCAGGCCCTCCAGCCCGCCAACGCCGCTGTGGATGTGCGGCCGCGCAACGACACCAAGTATGCCGAGGAGCTGGCCGCCATCGTGGAGTCGAGGGGCAAGTTCTTCAACCAGCTCACGTCCTCGCCGACGCTCCAGGTGCGCCCGCACGCGCCGCCGCAGCGCCCCTCGCCCCTGCACCACCGCTGCACGCGGCTCGGCGTGGCGAGGGGAGAGACAAGGCACGCATCCGGGTCCGACTGGTCGGCGGCACTTCGAGCCCGCAACCTCACACGACCCGCACTGCCGGCATGGGCATGCCCTGGGCGAGGGCAACCCCCCCCCCCTCGTGCACGCCCCTCGCACCCCTTCCCTCGCCGGCAGCGCCCCGGATCCACGCCCCTTCCCCCCCTCGCCGACCCCAGTCCGGCCCCAGTCCGACCCCGTCCGACCCCTCCGCGTGCGCACCTGCCCCTTGTGCAGGAGTACCGCTCGCTGCAGTCCAAGCCCGCCGCCCAGCTGACCCCGGATGACGTCAAGCGGATCGACGCCCTGCAGGCCCAGATAAGGGAGGCGGAGGAGCGGCTGGAGGCGCAGCGCAAGGAGGTCGAGGAGCAGCGCCTCAAGGTGGGCCCCTGGGGGGGCGGGGGGGGGGGGGCAGCGGCATCGGCCGCAGGCCGCGCAGAGCCGCGGGGCGCGGCAGGCTGTGCGCGGCGAGGCGGGCTGTGCACGCACGTGGGCCGCGATGAGCGCGGGGTCCTGGGTGGGGCAGGAGGGCGACCGTTCGCGGGCGCGCAGCAGCAAGTGGCGGGCACGGCTCGCGATGATGTTCGTGATTCAGCTTCCGAAGGCGTGCTGTGAGACAGCAGTCTGCCTGAACACCACGACACGTCCGCCCGCCGCCGCTGACGCCGACGTCGCAGGC